TGCTAGCATGTTTGTATTGCTCCCTGCACTACATCAATACCAACAGTTGTCCGGGGGCGGGGGGGGGGGGGGGGCAGTGTCGGTAGGCTGGGCGCTCTGTTCTGTTGATGGGGTGGGGCACCCTGCTTGTATAATGGTAGGGGAAACACTGCTTTATTTCTTGTATTTTGATGATTATGGCATACAAAACATAAAATATTCCTTTTTCACTGTATTCTAAATTTTTGAGATGCATCTGTATTTGCATTTCTGTTGTGAGAATGTCATGCAAATGTCAAGTGATGTAAGAATTGGCATATTTCCAGAAAATTCTGGCCCTATTTTCCCAAACATGTGACATTTGTGCGTGTATCCTCACAAGCCTGAACCTCCACAAAGTTGTTGTGTCTGAAATGGACATCCTTCCTTCAGACACTATCAGATCTCAGACTGGTATGTAGAGTTTAAAAGGATATATCAGACCCATAACTAAGTTTGTTTTTAACTTTCACTTCTTTACACTACTGGGGGGGCTGCACTGCTGGGTGGAGGCTACAATTGTGTAAGAGTTCTGTTTGGCATGTGGATGAGGTGACTGTTGTTCAAAAATGTGCAAAATGAATGAAAGCAGCGTCTTTGTGAAAACCGAAAGAATACAGGTTTTTCCAGCACGACGCCATTTTAAAAACAAGACAAGCGTGACTCACTTCACTCTCCAGTTGTCGTCATGTTGAACTGAGGTCAGGTACATTTATTTATCAGTCTTTGCTCAAGTTTGTGTTACACCTGTAACCTTTCTGAGCACCAACGAGGGCACCTTGTTGGTCTGGGGGCTCAGAGTTGTTAAACGGTTTGTTAGAAATGTGACAGACTAACGTTCCAAAGACAAGTTCTGGGAAGAATTAGTCAGACTGGAGGGTGAGACAGAGACCTAACCTGCTTTGTACTGAGAAACCACAGAACTAGAACTACAAAACCAACATCTTGTCAGCTCAGTTTCAACTAAACCAGTTTAGTAAGAGTCCATTCAAGTTGAATCCCATGAACATGCCTTTGCCAAAGGTTTTCACCCCCTTATCAAGAAAACAACAAACCATTCAAAGGCTACAAAATAAACTTTAACTTACACTAACAGACCTCGCTGCATGGAGGGACATTTATCATGTTTTCATAACAGTTTCCCTAAACTGAACCGTGACATGGATGAAGAGGTGAGCTTCTTGTTCATCTGCCTCTGGCTGCTCATAAATCACCAAAAAGTCCGTCACAGTCCGTGATGATGGCAGCTTTCATGAATGAAGCGGCACTGTGGAACCAAATGAGCTTAACTTGAAACTAATTAGCCAACGCTACGAATGTAACAATTGTTGGACATCTCATATTTTAAGTTCTGCAGATGGGTGTGCAGACCATCTGTCATCGCTAGGCCTGGCCTGTGGCGATAAACAATAAATCAATTAATCAGTTAATCGCATGATAAATAAAAATTATCAACCTCATTTTCATTTATCGGCTTTAGCGTTTCTTCATGTCTCTCTCTTTTTCTACTGAAGACACTGGATGACAAAAAGCTCAACTCCAGCGCTCTTCACTGACCCCTCCCTTTCTCTTTAAAATCTGTTTGAACCGTCCAGAATCGCGTTTTTGGATCGTTAAAAGCAGCTAAGCAGAGAAGCTAAGCTACGAGCTAAGCCTCCGTCTTGTCGAAGCTCCAAAATTCACGGTTGAATCCCGTGCCTTCATGTAAAAAGTTGTTCTTCTCTGCAAAAAGAAGCTGAGAACTTGTTTACTGATTTTTTTTTATTAAAAGCTTTGTGTGAAAAATGTTATGCTAAAGAGCTCAAACTACACCGAGCATCCACCATTTTGAGAATCGAAGAGAAACAGCCCACGTCACGTCAAGGGGCCTCCCTCCCATTTTTCTTAAAGAGACGCGCTGCTCGCTCCTTCACTATCCATCCTTCAGTTTAAACAGTCTTGTACTGCCATCTGGTGGTCAAACAAAGGTACTACACACAAAACAAATTAACCAACATTTCTTGTTAAATTTGACAACAATTACTAATTATTGTCAAATTTCAAACAATATCGTTTATCACAATAATTTCTGAGACCATTAATCGCCCAGCAAAATTTGTTATCGTGTCAGACCTAGTCATCGCTACATCACACTCTTGAACCACAGGGTCAGCTTATCCCATTAGCAGCTGTGTGTGTGTGTACCCCAAGCCTCTGCCTCATCAAACACAAATATATTATTTTACATAAAGGATTACAAAATAACAAAAATCCTGCTTTTAAAATAAATTTGTACCATTAGTGTTTAGCGTATTTCTTAGTTTATATCTTAGATCCTTATTTACTGTCTTTCACAATTTATATTTTTGTTATTGTTGGGTGTAACTGGGACCCCGTGTACACAATTTCGTTCCACCTCATGTACCACATGAGGTGCGTATGCCAAATAAAGAACCTTGAAATACTAAAAAAGACTCCAGTTATCAAACTGTACACATTGTGTTGAGAATAATGGGCAGCACGGTGGCACCGTTGGTAGAGCTGCTGCCGTTCAGCGAGCAGGTCGCCCTAGTTCAAATCTCGGCTATGGGGCCTTTCTGGGTGGAGTTTGCATGTTCTTTCCGTGCATGCGTGGGGTTTCTCCGGGTACTCCAGTTTCCTCCCACAGACCAAAAACATGCATGTTAGACTGATTGGTAACTCTAAATAGTCTCTAGGTGTGAGTGAGAGCGCGAATGGTTGTCTCTATGTGTCCCTGTGATGGACTGGAGACCTGTCCAGGGTGTCCCCCACCTCTCGCACAGTGACTGATGGATATGGGCACCAGTGACCCCTGCGACCCGAAAAGGAAGAAGCGGGTAAAGATGATGGATGGATGTTGAGAATATTCTTTTTTATTTTGTTGGGGGGAGGGGGGTGTAAACCTTTTATTATTAACATTGGATACAAATGTTAGGAGTAAACCCTAAACGAAAATGCTACATTTTAAATTTATTTGACAGAAGACGATGCAAAAAGGAAGGATCTTTACATTTACAAACGTTTCTTTTGGAGCAGCTGATAGAAAACAGTTTATAGTTCTTCATCTCAGAAAGAAGTTAAATAAATTCTGGCTGACGAACGAAGCCCTGAAAAAACTTAATAATCTGTAATTAAATATTTATCACGTTTTTACAGGACTGTGTGACTTTTTGATTTATAAATGAAACGAGACTGAGCCTATACTGCCCTCTGCTGTTCTAATGGCAGCAGTACAGCAGGCTAAAGAAAATAACTTTTTTATTTATTTTTTTAATCCAACCTTTAGACAGGTAAATCCCATTGAGCCTCGAGGACTCATTTACAAGAGAGACCTGATTTTACTCTATTGATCCCCAGTAGGGAAATTAATTCCCTGCATTTTTCCCATCGCACATGTGAGGCAGAGAGCTGCCAGCTGCCATCTAGGCACCCGGAGCTGGGGGGGGGGGGGGGGGGTTAAGGACCTTGCTCATGAGCGGGGCAAATGAGGGTGGAGACAGGTGTGGGTGTTTCACGATTACCACCCACATTTTGATGTTGTCGGTCCTGAGAGTTGAACCGAGGAGTGGACCAGCGACACTACGATCACAGGCCCATCCCCTCTAACCTCTGCACCACCACTCCCACAAAAACTCACCTTTTCTAAAAAAAATAAAAAAAATAAAAAAAAAAAAAGTCCTGAAAACTGGACTCTCTCTCTAACACCTGATGGTTCGACGAGGGAGAGGGCCGGCACCGGAGGAGGGGGTGTGCCAAAGACACCATCTTAACACCAACATAACTGGTTTGTTCCACTTTAGAGTAAGCTGTTGGGGGGAAGAATCAGTTTTGTGTTGCACGTTTCCTTGACTGATGAAGCCTTCTGGATGGAAGGTGAAACGTTTCAGCACAAAAAAAAAGAAGCTGTCCAGACGACCTGACTGAAAATTGTTGGGTTCTTGATTAATGCTAAAATACTGTAAAATCAGGTGAAAGCACAACACCCCCCCCCCCCCCCCCCGGATAAACAAGGTAACAAACGACAAAACTGAAATATCTTTAGCTAATTTGACAAACATCTGATATCATCATGACACGCAGGAACGATGAGAGTTAACCTAAAAGGCTGAATTGTCTGTGACAGTTTGGTGTTTACGGCGTTACCTGAGGTGGTTCTATGAACGCCAGCCAATCAGACGAGTGTGTTGGAAGTAGCCCCATCGACTGACACTTGTAGATGGCCAACGCTGCTCCCAGAAGGTTCCCGATCAGGTAGACGAGTCCCTGCAGCCACTGCTGACTGGAGCTCTCTAACAGCTTGAAGGCTGGAGCACACGAGGACAAAGCCATGAAAAATGGCAGAAACTAACTCGGTGCAAGAGGACGGTAAAACTTTAAATGAGGAGGAAAATATAAACGTGACCAGTGGACACTCACTGGCTGACATGGACATAAGAGCCTGGATGGGCCTCCAGGCCATCATGCAGACCATCATGATGGGGAAGATGGAGATGGTGTTGCCTGACATATACATGATGAACAGGTTCATGGGGATCTGTTTTAGGGGCCCAAGGGCCACGTCCCAGCAGCGCTGTGCATCAAGAAGCAGAGGAAGACAGAAGTTTACACATGTCACACATCTCCATCTCATCATTTATGTTTCAGTTTTCTTTAAATACGACGGTCGTTCATTCCAACACGTATTATCCTTTCTGCTCTTTGCTTTTTCCCCCCCCTTTACAAAACACCACATCGTCTGAGTATTAATTACATAAAAGCACATTAATGTAAAATTATTTGAAAAAAAAATAAAAATGTGGCTCACTTTCTCCACCAGGTTCTTGTCCGTCTCCTGGATGCTGGTGTCGGGAACCGGTTTCTCCGAGTAACCAATGGGATAGACGACGTCTCCCTGACCGCCCTGCCGATCGCGACTCCTGCGAGGTGAAGAGGAGCACCAACAGGTGAGCTCTGATCAAACACCACCTTTTAACTTAACCGAGTTAACAGTTAGAAAGCACGTATGAAGTTTGACCGGTGTGAGATAGAAATGGATTCTGCATGACTTTTGTTTTTATTGGCACTTTATTTAAATGTATGCTTGATTCAATTATATCTTGCAGTAAAAGCTGCCACCAAGTAAAGCCACCATCTTCTCTGAACCAAAGCTTGTTTAAAATGAACTGACAGAGTGGAGAACTGTTCTGTGGTCAGATGGATCAAATCTGAAAATCATCTTGGAAACCACAAACGTCACTTCCTCCGTGCTAAAGGGGCATGACACTACTCAGCCTGATGTCAGCACAAAGTTCCAAAGCCTCTCTAATGATATCCACCTTACTCTTTGGGGCTCTACTGTGTAAATGATTATGGGGACAACTTCCTGTCTGACACAGGAAGTACCAGTAAACATTGGATTACCATGATAGTGGAGCACGGATCGCGATTTATTTGAAAGTAATTTGCATTCATTTTAGCAGATAAAACGCTGTTTTTGTTTTGTTTGCATTTATTTAACAGATGTAAAGTTTAGGAAAATGTCCAACAGTACAGTCACATGTGCTGTTCGCGGCTGCAGAACAACCAGACCAAACTAAATCAGTGGCTACAACAACAGAGTTTTGAACACTGACCCAAAACAAAAGAAGTGTTTCTGTGAAAAGACGTATAGTTTCCATCTCCTACCTACCGATGAGGAATTAAGACGAATGTGGCTGAAAAATGTGAACTTGAAGAGACCACCCAAAACATTGTATGAGAGCTCATTTCACTTTGTTGTCAAACAGCCGACGGAGGAAAACCTGCATCCTACTTTGTGTCTGGACTACAAATAAACCACCGGAGAAGAGACGCTGGATCCTCAGGATTGAAGAATGACGAGAATTTCAATTAGGATTTCAAGTGTATGGAGGGCACAGCATTATAGTATTTGTTTGTCTTCAGTTTTATGATTTTTTTCTGCAATGAACCCAAGCTCAGTGATGGAGGACTTTAAGGCTCTGGCTGGGCTCTGAGTCTGCTTTAAGGTCAATAAGATTGTGTCCCACCTCCTTTAAAAAAACATGACCGACTTTACCGTCAGAAGGAACTGAGTGTAACTAAATATGCTAGTAGATGTAACTAAGTATGCTAGTAGATGTAGCTAAATATGCTAGTATAACTAGCTAAATATGCTAGTATAAGTAGCTAAATATGCTAGTATAACTAGCTAAATATGCTAGTATAACTAGCTAAATATGCTAGTAGATGTAACTAAGTATGCTAGTAGATGTAGCTAAATATGATAGTATAAGTAGCTAAATATGATAGTATAACTAGCTAAATATGCTAGTATAACTAGCTAAATATGCTAGTATAACTAGCTAAATATGCTAGTATAAGTAGCTAAATATGCTAGTATAAGTAGCTAAATATGTTAGTATAAGTAGTTAAATATGCTAGTATAAGTAGCTAAATATGCTAGGATAAGTAGATAAATGCTAGTATAAGTAGCTAAACATATTAGTATAAGTAGCTAAATATGCTAGTATAAGTAGCTAAATATGCTAGTATAAGTAGCTAAATATATTAGTATAAGTAGCTAAATATGCTAGTATAAGTAGCTAAATATGCTAGTATAACTAGCTAAATATGCTAGTATAAGTAGCTAAATATGCTAGTATAAGTAGCTAAATATGCTAGTATAACTAGCTAAATAAGCTAGTATAAGTAGCTAAATAGGCTAGTATAAGTAGCTAAATATGCTAGTATAGCTAAATAGGCTAGTATAAGTAGCTAAATATGCTAGTATAACTAAATATACTAGTATAAGTAACTAAATATACTAGTATAAGTAGCTAAATATGCTAATATAAGTAGCTAAATATGATAGTATAAGTAGCTAAATATGATAGTATAAGTAGCTAAATATGCTAGTATAAGTAGCTAAATATGCTAG